AATAATTGTTATTTTTATTTAAATGTTTGATTGGTTTTCTTTTTATTTTTTAAAATACTTTCCACTCCTCGTAAAGTTTAATTAACTTACTTTTGCATATATGAGACACTTGTGTCGGAATCCTAGCTTTTTTCCAAAACCTTATACATTCCTCAATCACTAGTGAAGTGCTATTGTTTAAATTTAGTTTTGTTATTCTGATATTATAAAATAAAACTTTTAGACAGTCACCTCTAGAAGGCAATTTTGAACCTGTTATTTGATGATTCATATACCCAATAAGAAATAACTTTTCATGCGACGACATTTTAAATATTTGAATAATAACTGAGATAATAATTAAATATATAGTTACTATTACTGCACAACAAACAACACTGACACTATGTTTTATTATTTGGTTTGATAACTGCAGTGGAATTAAATGTATATAGGAGAACGGAATATTTCCAAGCACGATAAAAGATTATTAATAATATTTAATACACGCTGTTGCGTAATAATGATAATCAGATAGATATCGTTATCATTTATAATAATAACTATAATAATAGTTATATTATAACTGAAATACTTATTATCGCTTAACTTTCGGCTTAAGTCGCCACGTGTTAAATTTGTTCAATTAAGCTTAAACTACAGATTTTTATTTAAAAGATATATAAAAACCAAATTAGGGGGCGCACTCATAAAAAATTAAACTTAAGAAAATAAGTGGCACCCTAATGGGTTATAATAAATAATATAAATTTATCAAAGTATATACATACATTTAACGCGTAACTAGTACAGTGCAGTGTCATACACCACTGCATTTTTTTTATCCTGCATATCAATTATAATATTGATAATATTACTTGGAGGTTACGTATACCTTTGTATGGAGGTAAAATGTATATGAAAAGATAAGTTTTTCATGTTATGTTCACTGTCATAACTTGTTATTGTTGATATAAAATGTTCAGCGGTATATCACATCGCACTGTACCATGTGTGTAACATTTTTAAAAACAAAATTTTTGTTTTTATTTTTAAATTTAGTTCACTATAGTTATATAATATTATATTATGTTATTTATATTTACTATTATATTTGAAGTTTCTTGTATTTATTTTTGTTTTCAAAGGTTTTATATTTTATTTATTTATTATAATAAAGCATTTTAATTGGAGTTTGGTCATAGTTATTTTTACCTAAAAAATGATTTTTCTCGTTATTTTTTTTTTTTTAAATCTTGTTTTTCAGTATTTCTTTTATTATCATATATAAGTTTGAACCTTAAAAACTCATATTGAAAAATTCTAGAATAAAATAAAAGATTCAGAAATAAATTCTACTACAATTTTTTAAAGTAACAATTCATTCATTAAAACACTAAGATATAATAATTTGTTTGAAAAAAAAAAATAGAATGATTGTTAATACTATACTGATAATTAATACACATAAAATTATTTAAGAATTTAATCTAAAAAGGTCCAAATATTGTTATCAAATGAAGCGATATGTCACACCACACTGTATCAGTTACGGTTTATTTTTTCATTGTACCAGTTACGGATTAATATAATAACAAAAAATTGTACTCTTAAACATTTTATTACTATATTTATTTTTAATTCTAAAAATATACATTTATTATGTAGTTATTTTGTCATGAAATATATTGTAACACTTTTTTTTTTAACAAAGAAATACACCACAAGTTGTTCATTTTGAACGTGGTATTGATTGTAATGGATTCATTAAAAATGTCTCACATCTTCCTCGTTCATCTACATATTCATATACATATTCTTGTATATATATATAATCCAGAGTATAACACAGTCACCAAATCTTACACCATTTGGAAAAAAAGCGATATTTTCCTTTCCGTTTATTTATATCACTTTTATTTTCTTATGCACTCCTTGAAAGAAACCTCGTACAGGAGGACAGTGGCGGCGTGACGATAAATTTTTGAATCCCTGGAGTGGAGTCCCTACCAGTGGGTGGGTAGATGGGTGGGTATTGACCATTGGGGATCGAGTGGGTATATAGCATATAGAACGAATAGTAGGGGAGCTCTTTTTACAAACTACCCTTAAATTTATTTTTAAATGGTTGGGTGGGTGGAAAAAATCCTAACAGGACTCATGAAGTAAAATATTTCGCGCCGCCACTGCTGAAGGATAAATATAATACTGGTACGATCCACAATAGTCGAAGTTTCCTATATTTTTATATATAAAAAAAAAAAAAAAACTAAAATATGAACGACTATTTTAATTTTATTTTATCGACGATTGATGGGAAACCTCAAGTGCCTGCTTGTGAAAATAATCGATATTGTAATATAATTACGGTACAATAAGATTACGACTAGAGCTCTTAAGAGCTCTAATTACAAGATACGATAAATATCTATTAATCAGTAAATGTCATGAACTACATACACTAGAGTTGCCAACCGTACGATAACTATTGTACACATACGATAATTTGAGCTGTTTGTACGATGTACGATGTATACTTATTATCGTACTAGGAAGTAGGATAATTTTACCATCTTACAAAAAAATACCATAATTTCCATTATCTATTTTTTTTTCTATAAATATAATCTTGATTCATAATTCCCGATAATTCGTTTACTTTGGTAATTTCAAATTTATTTACCATTGTCTGCATGATATCTGTAGTCCACCTATGTTCTATTGTTCTACTACCATAAGCGGCATAAGAATAACTGGAAATAGAATAATACACAAAACAAATATAATATATATATATATATATATATAACAATATATATATATAACAAATATAATACACAAAACACGTCTTCGGAGTCCGGGTGCCGAGTGACGACCAAATATAACGCGTTATATCGCATGCAGTATTATGACTTCTGAGAAATGACTAATGAGTAATATTATAATGAAGTAAATTGCCATAACAAATATTTATTAACAAATAAACAATATAACAAATCGTTTATCGATCACTATTGTGAATTCGATGAATTTGTATTGTTATAATAATTTGGTTGATAGTTTTAATCGAGAAGTTTAAATAACTATTGTTTTAATTTTTTTATTTATTATTATGTTTATGTATGCAAAAGTTCTTAAATTTGGTTAAATGTTATTTTTAATATTTCATGTTTCAAGAATTTAAATCAATTGTAACTAATTGTAACTTCACTGTTGAGTTTAAAAAATAAAAATTATATTATTTATACATAACTATACAATTGGCTTGTCAACACAATATTATTGTATGATTGTAACAATTGTGATTTCATTACTTTTCATTACTTTTTTAATATAGTATTTCTGAATTAATCACGGGATAGTAATTCTTGTCAGTCGCACTTTTGGTACCCCCTACGATCTAGCAGAAACAGCACAACTGTGTTTTTTCATTTCAAAAAAAATAAACACTTGTATGTTAAATTTTTTTTGTACGATATATTATTTGCTAGATACTGTACTTTTATAGTTGTTGTACGATGTATCTAGCAATGAAATGTATATTGGCAACACTGTTATACACCAAGTACTCACTAGTATATAATTTGCAATAGTGAATTGAGTAGGTACGTAATATTTTTCACTTAAACAAAAATTATACCTAATACATATTATATAATGGACAATTTTGAAAGTCAAAGAGGCAGTGAGTTAATAATCATCTAATATTTTTCAACAACTTTACGTGATACGAGGTGTATATGAAAGTAAAGTATCTACTTGTGTGTACGCGTTTTTATTAAATAAGTCAATAAAATCGTATAGAACTGTTTTACAACAAGTTATCATTAAATGCATTCAAGTTAATCGACATTCTAAACCAAAATATGTAATTATGGATTTCGAAATTGCTGCTATGAATGCAACAAATGGCGTGTTTGGTGATAGCGTGCAATTCTAAGGGTGTTTTTTTAATTTATGCCAATCTACATGGCAAAAAGCTCAACAATTAGGTATATGTTCTTTATACAGAAATAATATAGATTTTAGAATAAGTTACGCTATGATTAACTCTAGCATTTTTATTCCTTAAGCCGGTCCCACACGACTCGTGTACTTTGTGAGCATATAGTCGGCGAGTGTACTTGCCAAGTTTGCACGATGTGTGTAATTATGTTGCTACTACACGACTCGTGTGCTTGTCGATTATTCGTCAATTGTATATACTTTGCACGTCATGTCGTGTGGGAATGACGCACGACTACTAGTATACTGCTGCTAAAATAATGATATTAACAATAAATAATAGTCTATTTTGGGGGAAAATCCGATAATAATTTCTATTTATGCAAATATTCAATGTTGATAAATTCTTTTAAACTATAATATCCTTAGCGTTAGTATTGGTTCAATGAATTTTGCATTTGATGAATAATGGTGATTTTTAAAATTCAAACATAACAAATGACGCATTCAAAAAAGGTTATTTCTTATAATTTTACACAATATTACAAATTATTGATGTTTTAATTAATATAAACAGTTATTTCTACTACTAAGTATTTAATTATTCTAAATCAAATTCAATATTGAAAAATAAACTGTTTTAGATAGAATCAATACATTTAATATTATAAATATTAATACATTTTTTTTTCTATTTTAATAAAGAGTATAAAATGATATTTAACAAACAATACCACAGTATGATAAAACTACTCAATTTCCTATGAAGTTGCACATGCATTTGAAGACATACATAGTATCCAGCTTATTTTTGGTATTATGTTTATTAAACAATTTTTTGTTATTTAGTGGTCGTAACAATTATAGAGAGTAATTCGATTTTTAACACCTAATTTATTATATGGATATTACATATGATTTAATAATAACAGTATGCAACAATTACAGATCTATTTAATCTACTGTTATAATTATAGATGTTGTCATATTTTATGATTGCATTTGTGTGAATATACTAGGGTTTTAAATAAATAAGAAACCTATTAAAAAAAAGAAACATTCATGTAAGCACTTACTCTTTGGCATGTCGGTGCACCTCTTGATAATCGTTATAGCAATCCCAGAAATTAGCACTAAATAAACTACCTAAAAACAAAATAAACATATAAATATCATTTAATTAAAACAAAGAATTATAAACAATAATTTTATAGTTAAAATAATTAAATATGTTGAATAAAATACAAGTTAAAAAATAAACTTATACTTAAAATAACGTTAAACGTCCAATTTAAACAACGTTTAGTGAAAATAACCAATAACACTAAAATACATTATGAAATCAAACAGTTTTTTCATGATACAATATAATATTACTTATTTGATTTAAATTAATATCATGACATATTATAATTTTTTTTTCTTTTATTTATTCAGCACCAACAACAGGATTATTAGCTTACACTAAGTTTTTACTATTGGGTTTATATTTTTATATACATATATGGTATTTATATTTAGTTTTCTTAGATTTAGTTATACGTTTAATTTTTTTTTTTAATCGGAATAAGGTACAAACGCTGCATAAGGCTGTCTGGAATTTGGCTTTCTAGTGGTTAAGTTTTTTCTATGAGGGATCCATGTAATACTCTCATGTGACCAATTCTGAGTATGTTTAGTACGACTTATTTTCTATTTAAGCTGTTAAGTTTTGGCCAGGATACGACTGATTTTTTATTTCTTTTAGTTTGTTTTCTGTCACTCGGTGCCACTTAGAATTTCATAAATTAATGTAGTATTTATCAACTTTTCTATGTATATCAACTAATGATGACAATTAAAGTGAATTGTTAATGGGGTTATTAATTGCATCTCGGGCTGATTTACTGCTTCCTCATTCCATTTATTTTATATATTATTATATTTAGTTTATATGGTACAGATCAGCGTTTCTCATAATTTTTTCATTCACATATCGTTTGACCTCTCACCATTGCTTTACGTATCCTCCGTGGTTGAATTGGGGTAGGATTCCTAGAAAAATTAAATAAATACGAAAAAAAATTGGAAATTATTAAAATGTAATTTAATTCTTGGTATTCGTTCTTAATCAGTGTATTAGCGTGAATATTTAGAACGCAATAATAAAGTATCATATAATATTATAAAATAGGTTTCAAGTGCTTCAACGGCGTATATAATCCGTAGAATAAACTGCTAAAGTGCTATTAAGATTTATGATTCACAATTTAGATGTATTCTAGACCCTCGCCCGACGATAAAATATCCTACGAGTAAGCTCTGTCCCTGCGGTGAACGACACGGGTTAGGGGCCATGCAGTCGGCGGTCGTGCGATTCTCGTCCGTCACCACGAAGACAGTCTAACGTCAACCGGCCATGGCTGCGTACGAACGGTAATCGTCTACCACCCCCCTCCCACTAACCGGCACTTTCATGTGGCGTCCACGACATGGCGGCGGCCACTAGCGGCGGTACAACGGCGGTGACTTTGATGCTCGCGTCGGCGCTCGGATTCATGGATTGCCGGCGAACGTTTTACTACCACGGCTGTTGACCAATGCGAGTATACCGCGCGCGCCGTCAAGCGAAGACGATCGCTTTCTTTTTTGCGCGACCCGAAACACATGACAAGCGTACGCGGTACGCAGGATCTCTTATGTTCCTATGAACAGCTAGTTTGCGAGAAACATTTTTACTATTATTATTATTGTATATTTTTCATTCAAATACTTAATAACATTCTGTCGATACCGAAACAAAAAGTAAACTGTGCGTGGTCACAAGAAAACACGAATTATATAGCTTGTGGAGGAAGTGGTTCCTCGCGGCACCACAGGATTTGATTCGATTTTCACGCCATTAGCTTGTTACTATTATTTTTATCTTTTTTAACATTTTAAATTTTTTTCCTGACCAGTTACGTTTTACACAGGACATTGAACATTACCGGTGAGGGAAAACGAGAACATATTATTTACGGTCTGAAATGTAAATATGATAAAATAATGTGGAATCTTTTACAATGAATTGTGGCGAATACACCCGCGGCTGTGTGTGTAATTGGAGGTCTTTGAGGCGGGATTCGTTTACGTATACAATTTAACGATCGATTTGGAAACGAAAATAAAAAAAACATCGCAGCTTCGTTTGACCATCATGCAACAGTAAAGAGAAGATTGTTGAGAACTAGTGAAATGATAACTATATTATACTTTAATCGGCGTGTTGTATAATAGAACATCGACTGATCTTCAACGGTATACCTAGTTTATCCCAATATTTTTCGTTACGTTAAGTCTACTTGTTTTATTTTTAGCATTTAATTTGAATAATATAATTCAACCTTTAATTATTATTGTTTGTATAAAATATTATAGTCTTTTTTTTAATGTTTATTACATTGAAGGTATTGAAAATTGTTTAAATTAATTACCAGGGCTCATAACTTATAGCTTTAAAAAAAGGTTGTTATAAGCGTTTAAATATTCTCTAAAAAGTATTCATATAAGCGCTTAAACATGCACTAAAAATACTAAAATATGCAAAAAAAAACGTTTGTATACAAAAATTATTATTTTATTATTATTATTTATTATATTATTTCATTATTTTAGCTTCTATTATTAAAAAAAAAAAAAAAATGTAGATACTGAATACATGAAACATACTAGCATACATACAATACGAAAAATTGGAAACGACTGCAAAATGCTAATGAAAAATTATCAGTAAATAATCTGAGAAATATGATATCGGAATATCTAGATAATGATATCGGAATACCCGAATACCTAGAAACTATAAAAATAAAATACTACAGTACAAGCTACAATTATATACAATTATAATGGTTTCCTTATCGATGGGATTACGAAGTTTTGGGCGTACACTCTCGCTATGTCGCGCGTCGCCTAAACTCGTATAGGTATAATATATAGTTTATCTGATATTATTATATAAGTTATATAAGATGAAAAATGAATTAACTAGAATTAATTACTAATATGAACAATTAATATGACTATAATCTTGTTATTTTTAAGAAAAAATGTTTTAGGCTACTAAAAAATATTTAAAAAAAAATCAATGATAAAAATCATGCAAAAATCCAAAAATAAGCAAAAAAAGCAAAATAACACTTATGCTCCGAAATATGCGAAAATATGCAACAAACAATTTCGTATGTAGCTTCTTGGTTATCTGAAACAAATTTATAGTTCACATAGGTACCTCTAGAACCTTTTAAAAAAAATTTGGAAATGCTAGAAGTTATGAGCCTTGTTACTAACGTAACCTAACATCTACCTTTCTCGTAAGAAGTGTTCGTCCAATATTGTTAGTATTTGCAGCACAAACAATTATGGGACACACGCGTATAAGCGATTTAAGAGGAAAATGTACATATACTTATAAATAACAATTGAGAAAAAAAAATTGTGAGTGACGTCCAAATTAAAATGCTTGATCAACCAGGAAACGTTATAACCAAAACATATTATACTAGTATCCAGTAACAATGTATTTTTTTTCTACAACTCCTGAAGCATTTTAACTCCGTTAACATTATGATATTATTTTACGAGGTCGACAACGAAAGAAATTAATTTTATGTTTTGTTTAAACGTTGTCGTTTTTTTAGTCATATAAACAAAATAATAAAAAATAATAATAAATTACTTCGTTATTATTCAACTGTTGTAGATTTCGTATTTATTACATATTTTATTGGCATGCATGCTGTTTTTAATTAAAAAAAAATTAAATTTATTTTATATAACCTGACTGTATGATAAGATATACACTACTTTTATTTTTTCGTAATGAAGTATTTATCGATTTTTATATCCGTCATGATGTCCACAATTATATATTATTTTAACGAATGCCGGTTTAGTATAATATATTTATGTTATTATCGTTCTTAGATCAATATACTTATAAACTTAAGCACATATAATGTATATGCGTTTTGGTCATATTTCATATTTGTAACTGATAAGATTATTTTAAAAATTCAGTCCAACTGTATTATCTATTAACTAATTAAATGTATACTTAATGGTTGTAATCATACAAATATGGATATAACTCTTATACTCATAGTGTTCATAAATTATATACCATGCACCTCTACAAAAGTTAGCAAGCATACAAAGTTAACAAACTTAAATTGGGACGTTTCCAATTGCATGTTTTTTTTGCATAACTTTTGAACATTAAATGTAATTATAAATTATAATTCATAAATATAAACGTTTTTATGACTTTTTAATGTAAATGTTGGGTTTTTATAAGTACTACATAAAAATTACTTTTTGAATTATGAACGCATCGAAACTAAACATTATGAAAACCGCTATAAGAAGTTCATAAAATGGACTAAACTAAAAAAAAAAAAAGTCAAAACGCATTGACCTGTCACGGAATGCGAGTCACGAGGTTGATGTAGGGATAACGTTTGATAACCCTTGCGAATCCAATTTAGTTGGATCCTATCTTCTGAACTAGGACATGTAGGAAGACTAATGAACTTTCCAGCATTGATAATTGGGAATTTAAATCGACCGATAATTATATGGTGCTTGTATTTATTTTTTTATTTTGATCACACATATGGTTGTAGTAATATAGTGCGGTAGGTAGTCGTATTGGAAATTATGATGCGTGACTCATCTTTATCAGTTATTATTGTGCTTCGGTGAAACATAACGGATATTTCCTATATACTATTAAATATAGTTTAGACCATACACGTGGAATATTAACGTAGATGCTGACAGGGTCAAGGTAAATTCGAAAGTATTGTCTAGAACAGTGTAAGTATCTACCTATGTTTTCGGTGAGAATAGAACATATTTTCAATGAAATATCTACCATTGAATACCGTAGAGTATAAAATAATTTCACTTAATATCCTTTTCCCTATGCCATTTTACCACAATATCCATACACACCTTTCTACAATACCGGTAATATTATCCTTACCCTTTTTTTCGCCGAGCAAACATCGATTCGACACCGGTCTTGTTACCTTTCCTATGGATTCAATTTGAACATCGACGATACATATTGACTTCCCATATTTATAATATTTAACAGAAACTGGCCAACGAAGTGATATTAG